TGACTCCATATCCTGCTACACTGACATGGAAAGGATGTCATCAATGGGATGACTCCACATCCTGCTACACTGACAAGGTAAGGATGTCATCTATGGGATGACTCCATATCCTGCTACACTGACAAGGTAAGGATGCCATCTATGGGATGACTCCATATCCTGCTACACTGACATGGAAAGGATGTCATCAATGGGATGACTCCACATCCTGCTACACTGACAAGGTAAGGATGTCATCTATGGGATGACTCCATATCCTGCTACACTGACAAGGTAAGGATGTCATCAATGGGATGACTCCACATCCTGCTACACTGACAAGGTAAGGATGTCATCTATGGGATGACTCCATATCCTGCTACACTGACAAGGTAAGGATGTCATCTATGGGATGACTCCATATCCTGCTACACTGACATGGAAAGGATGGCATCTATGGGATGACTCCATATCCTGCTACACTGACATGAAAAGGATGTCATCTATGGGATGACTCCACATCCTGCTACACTGACATGGAAAGGATGGCATCTATAGGATGACTCCACATCCTGCTACACTGACATGGAAAGGATTGCATCTATGGGATGACTCCATATCCTGCTACACTGACATGGAAAGGATGCCTTCTATGGGATGACTCCATATCCTGCTACACTGACAAGGGAAGGATGGCATCTATGGGATGACTCCACATCCTGCTACACTGACATGGAAAGGATGGCATCTATGGGATGACTCCACATCCTGCTACACTGACATGGAAAGGATGTCATCTATGGGATGACTCCATATCCTGCTACACCATGATAAGAGAATAGTTCGATGTTGCCCAAAAAATTAATTCCTCAAATTAATGAGGGGGGTGAAAACAGGTCTGCAAGTTTTCCATCCAACAAAATCAACTTTTCAGGAAGTTTACAGTTCACAGTTATTTTTGTTGTTATTTTTTTAGGGTTTTGATTAGAAGGGGAGAGAGGGGCATGTCTCCAACTTTAAGGCACCCAACATTGAAATGCTTTCTGAAGCTGGAAAACTGCTGTCTGAAACAGCCAATGCCATTCACTCCCCACACAATGTGTTAATCGTACCTGATGGCGTGGATCCTAGCCCAGGTTGTCTACCAGTGGCTTGCCTGTCCAACTCTTGACAATTTACAGGCCCCCATGATATACCATATATGCCATATGAAGCACCCCTGACCAATTTCTAAGCCAATCTGTAAATATAATTCTAAGCGCCCATGGCTACACCCAACCCCAACCATTTACACAATAATCCATATTTTTCTGTGAATATTACTGATCTAAAAGCTGCAGTGTAGAAAGGGTATGCACTACCTTTAACTATCATCTAAAATATTTTAGTTAAATGGACATTTGAACTTATTCTGTTTTCAGTTCTCTGCTGCTCATTCTCAGACAATAAGTTTGATCTGTGTATGGTTTTAACAATCCCCTCCCCCTGTGCCACTTACTGTATTTTCTTGAGTATAATGCGCACCCCCTCTAGCGGCTTCAGTATTTTTAAAAAAAAAAAAATTGAATACCAAGCGCAGAAAAAAAATTACACCGTACCCCTTTAGCGAAGTCCGGCAAATGATTTATGATATATGTATCCATTCTCTGTCAACTAAATTTGGTTTCAAGGCGTCAATAGAGGTAATCTGACCTTGGTTGCTGTTTAATAACGGTGAGTTGTGCGATCTTCATATCACCATTTCACCGAAATTAATGAAAACAATATTAAAAGGAATTTTGAATAAAATTAATGAAATAAGTTACAAACAGAAGCCCAGATATACAAAGAAGACTTTTTATAGCCAGACAGTGTAATTAAATGATTAATTTGCGTACTTCAGTATGGATTTGTTGACATGGTATTTCCGGTGTTATGTGCTCACAGTAATGTCTTTCCATGGGGGAAAAACATCAAAACTCATTATTTCATGTATAATGCGCAGCCCCTTCTACACAGCTGTGTTTTTTGGAAAAAAAGTGTGCACTATACTCAAGAAAATACGGTATGCTCCAATAAAAGTAAACTTACACAGCCAGATTATTTAGGTAAAGGGGGTAAAAGATCCTTGATAAGGCAAACAGGAAGAAAATGCTCCAGACCTGGTGATTCATCCTCCTGCAATGATCCATTGTAACCGCCAACATCACACTGAATTAGGAATCTTTTCATATCCTGCCAAAGGAGCAGGTGTGCATGAACAGAATTCTATTTCACTTTTATATCTGTGCAACTGTCTTTCATATTTTATTTATACATCACTATACTACTGAGTAAATAAGTTAATCACTTGTCTGTGCTGAAGAGTAATGGTGAAATGGGGTGGAACGTCGCGTTAAAGAATATTGCACTTATATACCGATGTGCATGCAGATGTGTGGGTGTCTGTTGGTACTAGTCCGGAATAATGTCGGTTTTATAGTGCTAGCCCACTGAGATACCATGCAGTTTAACATGGACACCCCACTCAGACACATTACATGTCTTCTAGCTGAGCAATCCCTAACCAATTGTTGCATCCCTTTAACCCCAAGCAAAAGGCATGGTTTTGACTTTACAGGGTGATATATTAGTCTAGGTAGCATAAAGGAAAAACATCCATAAGAATAGATCTGCAAGTCTGAACATGTGTTGTTTTATTCTGCAGGAATATCAGTGTGTTGGCTGGTTCAGTAGGAAAACAAAGAAATGCTGCAGGTGCCTGTCTATATGTTCAAGCCTCAGTGGAAATGGATGCCTTGGTGGCTGAGTGGGTTGGATCGCTGACTTTGTGTGCTGACGATTAGGGGCCTCACTCTGGCAGTGTGGGTTCGAATCCCGAATGGGACTCAACCCAAAAGAGAACTAGAACCGGTACTTTACAAAGAAAGTGTTATCCTAAATATAACATTTGTTACATTTAACCACTTTCTAAATGCCATTGTGTTTTCACACATGTTCAAAGTATACAATATGTGTGTGGTTTACTGTCACACATATCACAATAATTTCAATATTTACTGTTCTCTCAAATGAGATTTACAACAAAAATAACGATCTATGTTAAATTACATTGTTTCTTCGCTACATGCCATTTGAAATATCAGCTTGATGTCGACTTATCATGTTTACAACAACTAAGGGTAGCCGGTAATAGGACACATTTTCACTGTGATTAACCCATCAATAAACACCTCCTACTTGCCAAGGCCCAGTTATCACTCACAGCATGTAACCTTGACAACAATGTAAACAAGGTGTCAATTACATATTTGTCAATATCTTTTGGGGGTCTCCAATTCTTAATCTACAGAATTACTCCACTCTATATGATTGCTATGAACATTAGGTATAGCCTAACATGCTAATGGGGACATAATATCATTTTGAGAACATTATTGAAAATGCAGTACAAAAATATTTTTATGATTCTTCAAAATCAGCACGATAGCTCAATTTGTTTTTTACCTTTTTAAACATTTCAACAAAAGAGAACACCAAAACTCAGTAACTCATTCAGTGATATAAATAAAGTATGATATGTGCGTTCAAGCTAATCATTCTCATAAACGTTTAATGAAACTTAATTATTAAATAAAAAGGGGGTCAAACCTGAACCCTGTTTTGATATTTTGAAATCTGATTAAGTCAACTATCCTTGCAAAATGTACACCAACATGGAACTTCTTTTATTCACAAATTTCATTTTATCATATCTAAAACACAATGTATGAAATACAGGTTTATAGAATAAATTAAACAATATTACATAATTAATAAATATCTTTATAATAACCCTTTAATCAAAATGTAAAAAGCAAATTGTAATGGATATTTATGTCATAAACGCCATGTTTCTCTGGTCCCAACACATTGTCAGGCATACATGATCTCACATGAAGTAAACAAGGTTTGTAAACAACTGTCAATCACACTCCAGCTATGTCAACACACTTGAATTCCGACAAAATGTTTCATCTGTTATTATAGGACTTAATTAATAATTTCGTTTGCAACCCACATTATCAGTGCATGACTCAATTACAGCATTTTACAGTTGACAGAGCTTTACAGTGCTGATAAGAGACCAGACAATTTATTTTTGTTTTGAATGAGCCTTCTCTATAATTTCTGAAAAGTATTTTTTTATACAATTATTGAAAATATGTTTTGAACAAACACCTTCAATTAATACAAATTGTATTTTTACTTTTTATTCAAGATAAATATTCAAAATAATCTGTCAAGTCCTGCATTACAATGCTATGATAGTTTTTTTTAGAGTTATAATTGCAGACTATACTGATGTTATACGTTTCAATTTAGACAGTGCAGTTGAATAAAGGTCACAACATATTTTACTGTTCTGCACTTGAAACATGAACTGACCCCAGAAATAGACCCACCCTTTTGTGTACATATCTGTACCAGTTGTTTAAACACTTGGGTATACGCATGATAAGTGGGCTGTATACCGGTTGTTATAAATCTGTACACATCGGATTTCCTTGAGACACTTGAGATCACTCTGGTTCATATTTTAATCCCTGATGATCCTGTTATCAGTCATTTATGACCATATTCTTTAATTTTACCTTCTTTTTACCATTTTTATCTATTTTTTAACATTGTGAGTTTTTCAAAACTTAACAATTTATGATCCTTTGTTAGAAATCTTGTACTTTAAATCCACACACCAAACATTTGTAAGAATTTGAACTATGGCGGGTGGCTTATCTGTGGCAGTATTGTGGCAGTTTCGTTGCAGTCCTGTGGCAGAAATAACAACCCCTTGTCACATGACATCCTGCCTGAGATGATGTCACTATATACAGATGACATCATTCCCGCTATGACATCACATGGATGTGATGCCATCGAAGGATGCCACCCGCTTCTTTCCTGTTTTTTTATTTTGCTGTCCTAGCCATTGGTCACCCTTTTCCTATGCTTATCCTTATTCTGAGTGCTAGGATGGTGGTACCGTGTTGGTTGCACTGGTTACAGACACATGTAACCTTGAAGGGACTATTTGCACATTCCTATATGCAGGGATCAGTGTATGGTTCTCGGTCGGCAGTGACAACAGTGACAACATGTAACATTGAAGGGACTATTTGCACATTCCTATATGAAGGGATCAGTGTATGGTTCTCGGTCGGCAGTGACAACAGTGGAGTCGATAGCTTAGGTTATATACCATATAAGTTTTTACCATACAGGTAGATATTTTCAAGTGCCAGGCGAGCATATACTGAAAGTAGTTGTGGTGTTGGTGCCATGGAGTTCCTAGACTAACCCTAGCTAGGCTAAGGGTAAGACCTTTCCTCTGAGACTTACTTCGTTTAGGTTTTAACGTGCGCTTTCCAACAAATGCGTATTTCGTACACTGGCTCACCAGGCCATTCAGTCATATGGTCGAGAAGGGTATGTCCGAAAGCGTAAGGCAACCTGGAGGGACTTTACGGTTACTTAATTAATTTTGGTTGACATTTGGAATTTTGAAATATGCAATACTGAAAGGTGGGGGAACTACAGGAGTTTGTGGGGTTGTTAAGCTGTGTGTTTTTATGGATTAAGTATTTCTGTTTAATTGGTAGCTTGTTTGCTAGGATTTTTTGTTTTTTTTGGATGCGGCCGAATAGGCTTGATTTGATTAGATAAATGCCTAGTGCTTCATCGGTGTGTAAGTCATTTACCGGGTTTAGTGGAGTTGCTAGTGTCATTTGATTGTTGTAGTTTAGTGTCCTCTACATCTTACTTACTAATATTGGAGATTTTACATGCGCTTTCCGACTTAAGCGTATGTCGCACACGGGCCTCTACGTCTCTTGACCAAGGCTTATATAGCCAAGGTCACCTGACACCAATTAAGTTATAAATATCAACAACAGTAATTAATGACAAGTGACGTAAGTGCACAGCTTGTTCAGGTTGTCTGACAGTAAATGTATAGTACAATGGTGATGTGGAGTTGGGTTTTAGCTGCTTTTAAACAGTTATATCACTGCGTGTCAGCTTAATGTGGGAGGAAAGCCCGAAGTGATGCAGGTCTCAGACGTTTACCACTTCTGTGAAACCCACGGGCACGGTAATGGTGCTGACAAACCCAGAAACATAATCGGGGCGAACCGGGATTCGAACTCACAATCATAGGTTTCTGGCGTGCCCAAGGGACGCAACTCTGCACAGCGAATCGCAGCGCCTTAAACGACTGGGCCACCTGTGTCCCCTCTATTTGTGAGTGGTGGGGCTATGATTTTTAAGGTACCAGACAGGAAAATAAGGGTCCCAGGGTCACCAATATACCAACAACACAAACATAAAGTATTTGTGAAGGTTAATTCATGGATGGGTATTCGTTCTTTAAAAAAACTTTTTTGATTGAGTGAAGAATATCAGACATTGACAATAATTAAACTTTGCCGGCTACCATGGCTAGAACTGAATTGGTTGCAATGATTCAAACAGCCACATTGTTTTGAATCCCTTGAAACTTGCAGGGCTAATTATTTGCATCGTTCTCAATTATTCTCAATAGACAAAGATAATGCAAGCACCTTTTGCATTCAGTAAAAGCCTAGAGTCCTATTATGGATCATAGTCATAAACATGAACTTTTGTTTCCCTGGAAACGAAGCCAAACACTATTTGATCATTAAAAAAAAAGGACACATGAAACATCTGTGACTGATAAAGCCGTGATTTGCATGAACATCTGATATATGTCCTGCAGGTATTTGTAAACATGGTGGACCCATCACCTACCTGCCACTGATGACAGGTAGATGTCTCACTAACGACAGGTAAAGTCATCTCACAGGTAATCTGTGTGCCTTGGGGGGAACTCGGATGAGTCAATTATGACTGTCATGGGTCAAAGTCAAAATATTCATATTTGGTTTAGGGATCTATGGCTGACCATATGTAATAAATCTGTTTTCTGTGGCACGTTGAGAATAGGTGTAAAGTTATAGATATTTTTTGTTAATATCCTCATCATTGCTCATATTAATATACAATGTAATATGAGACTTAGTGATTTATAGTATATATTTATGGCACAGAGATTTAAACTTTGTAATGTAAAAAAGGCTACCACAAGCCTTGGCCACTCAACAGCCCTCAGTTATCTCAGAGATGTACTTCTGGGTTCAATGTCAGAATAAGTCCCCAGTACCCCATGTTTGTCACATCTAAAGATCAAGATCACAGTGACCCCTTCTTGCCAACTGTGTGTTATCTTGACCTGAAACCTGTGGATTTTTGCTCATGCTGTCAACCACTGGTTGACCTGGATCCTGTTCCACTAAGGGCTCTTCTGCTACAATGATAGTAAGCCCTTGTTAAAGTATGTAAGTTACGATGATCTTACCGCTACGATGACCATAAGCCTTGGTTAAAGTATGTGTTACGATGATCTTACTGCTACGATGACGTTTAGCCTTTGTTAAAGTATATATGAGTTACGATGATCTTACTGCTACGATGACCGTAAGCCTTTATTAAAGTGAGTTACGATCAAAATCGCTTTGTGGAATGATCCCTGGCCCAGATAGTTATAACCTGAATATTGCTGGCTGTAGCCAAAAAGAAAATTCACCCACACACATGATGATATTTGTCCTTCGTCATTTCATCCGATTACTTAGTAAAGAGGTTACATCTAAACTGAGTGACAAACTCGAAACAGCTTTCAGCTATTAATTTGGCCTAGTTCCATGGTAAACTCATAAACTGTATTACAAAAATGTCCCAAATTTTATCCTCAGGATAGAAAGCATGCCGTTACACTGAGAGGGTCTGTTTGAAAATACTGATGCACCTAACTACATACCATCGTCAGAGCTTTAAGTATGATGCACTTTTGGTTATACAGTCACAATCTTGCCTGTATCAAGTTGATATGATGGGTAAGCATGTTTTTATTACTATGATGGAACATTTTTTCTCTCTTTAAATACACGTTAAATATACAACTCTGCATTTCAATGTAATATTCCATCACAGTGCATTAAAGGTACACTATACTATATGGTCTGGTGCTCATATCAAATCAAGGTCTAGACCTTGTATTAAAGGAAACTATCAAGCGATATCTGAAGGCATGCAGATCTAAAGTAACATGTGACAGATTTATCCAGGATTCCAGACTAATAGCCCTTGGCAATTTTGAGGGAAAAATTGTTACTTTGCTCAAATTGGTCACTGAAATGCAAGTCAATTCTGCAAAGCCTTATCAACAGTTATTACTATACAACATGAACTGGGAAATATTTAGTTGGGAATTTGTATTTACATTTACTGCAGACTTTAATTATCAACCTCTGAGCAGGTCTAGATAAATCCCTATGTGACCTCACTATGTCACAACAAAATTCCCTTATTGCACACCGTGTCCTCCTGTAGAGCATCATTGTACAATTATACAAGTCTCACAAAACAAACCAATTAGTCAGCTATCTGTCATGGTTCATCTTTGAGACCATATGTTTCCTTTTCTTGTGTAACAAATTTGCAGGAGGGATACACCACAATGACTGTTTCATGTCGTATCTTGCACAAGCACAGTTTTTTTTATTATTCTGTGCCCATATCAGATATAAGATAATTTCATCACGCTCATACACAATCACATGATTGCGGAAGAGTCTGTGCATGATCACATGAACACCTCTACTGTCCATCATAGACCAATTAGGTCACACTATAAAAAATTGAAGCTATGGATTATTGTCAATACATCAGGGGAAATGAAAAACTAGATCATTATGAAAAAAATACATAAATATTTTATGCTTATGCGGCAAATATAATCATTTGACATTTTTTTTAAGTAATTGATTGTAAGCAGATCAGATAACAAGTACCAGATGACACGGAAGTAGAGATGATTATCTGCCCTCTTCATGCTCCTCCTGACTATCCAACTGCTGTGCATCCCGACCACGTGAAAGGAGGAAGTAGTTCTGTGTGCATCCACCCCCAGACTAGCGGCAGTCATGCAGTCTTGTCAATGGCAGTTTTATAATTTATGTCCACAATGCTGTTTGTGAATACTGTCCATAAGTCATATATTTTTTAACTGTTTTTCCTTCTATGGCGATGTTCTCCCTTGTTTATATGTTTTCACATCATGTGACAAGAGTCAGCCCTAATTCATTTGTAAATTTAATTGTCAAAAGAAATAAATGCTGCTCATTTTACAAATTATGCCTATTTCAACCAACCTTGTTCATGGTGTTGTTTCAACCTTTTTCAAAATGATTGTTTTTTTAATACAAAATCATGTTTATGTTTAAACGAATACACATGCAATATACCTCTTAAGTTTGAGGTCTAACCCATTCATCATATTATGGTGGTATTGTCGAGGAGTGCAATATAAATGCAATTAACATGTTTGATTTGTGGTCAACCCATTCATCACACTATTGTGGTATTGTTGAGGAGTGCAATATACATGCAATTAACATGTTTGATTTGTGATCAACCCATTCATCACACTATTGTGGTATTGTCACGGAGTGCAATATACATGCAATTTACATGTGGTATATACCTTGTATATATACCTCGTGCGTAATACAATACTACAAAAAACAATCAATGCGTTATCACATCAAACACCTATTGAGAACAATGTGTATACCACAGAACTCACACTGGCAATACTGTCCGTGATTTCAAACAATGTTTGTATGTTTGGTCAGAGACCGATATCGGTGTATGGTCTCTGGTTTGGTGATGTAATACTTATTGACGATAACTTAACGTAAATAGACTATTCAAGTATTAATCCTTTAGTTTAACATCAAGATAACTGAGGTCAAGCAACACACTGTTAGTTTCACAATCTGCAAATATGACATTGTAAAACAACAAAAGTTACCTCAACTCATGCGTCCTGCTCCTACCGCTAACCGGCCGCTATCTGATGATCACCGACTGGGTACTCGAACCAGTTTAACAGTAAAATGAATACTCGAGCGATCGTTCTCTTCACTACTTCACAACTTTCGTTGAGCCGCGCCTCTTCACACACACAGCAACAAGTTAAAAGCGACAACGATCCACAGTCCGATCAATAATAAATGTCCTACGTTCCGTGTTTGGGTACTTTGCAGGTGCAAACGCCAGTCAAGCTGTGACGAGCGAGGAAAACACCCTTCAACACTCGCTCGTGTGCCTTGTCGCCAAAAATAGTATCACGCATGTGACGTCATCCCAACTATTAAACTAGGGTCGCGCTTTCCTTATATGGAACAACGTGACACAATCTAATCTCTGCGTTGTATTTTATGAATGAGTCTTTCAGTATGTGTTACCTGTATCACAATGACTAACTGTCGACGGTGTTCTGAGACATAAGGACTTTGAATGACGTGCAAGCCTATTTTTGTTTAATGTGTCCGTCGTGAGTGTGCTGATGCAGAGACGGAATAGTATATTTTAAGTCTGAATCACATTAGGACAAAACAATTAAAGACGTATATAGATCTATATCTATCTATATACGTCAGTGGACAAATTACAAATTACACAATCACTTTTAATGATAATATCTATCTATCTATCTATCTATCTATCTATCTATCTATCTATCTATCTATCTATGTCTGAATTTCAGTTACACAAATATTTTACAAAAACAGTTTCTCTAAAACCGAGCTGGTATAGTAACATTTTGATTATATTCATGTATACAAAGTATTTATTTAAGAAAAAGATTACGTCTTAAAATTATATTTATGAATCAATTATTGGTTAATTAAGCCATTATCTACGACAATACCTACATATTATTGATGCAACGCACACACGTGACAATAATATGTAATCACACACCACAAATGTAAAATATAATTGCCAGTTAAGTTATTGCCAGTAATCGTCAAAAATCAGGAAGTCGAGCGGTCTGTGAGCGTGGCTGAGCAAATTTCTTATAGGTTACATGTAAAAGACGAATCGTTAAACGAATTAGCATTTGAAAGATATCAAATACTTCCAACTATCGGGATACAAATGATCTCTCCCCGGAAAAGCTGTATCTAACTATATATACGAAATTGAAACGACATAATATATGGCGTTAAGTGCACACTTGCATGGAAGTCAAAGGAAGCCATTTTCTCTCTCATCTCAGAGCAGTCAGACATTTCTCAAGTGTTCCGTCCGACTTGACTCGGGCGGTTAAAATCAATAAACACAAGCCAGATGCTCATGAAATGTTCTAAGATCTATAAAACAGTATCTAATCTACACAATTATTTCTTTAAAACACCACAGTAAACGTATTTTAAACGAATTCGTTCGTTAAAAGGAAGCCAGTTTCCTACTATATTATTCTCAACATTGTCTCTATCACAAGTGTTAAGTCTGTGTTTGGTCTGGCTTGGCCCGGTCGCCCTAAAGCATCTAAAACCTCACAGATGCAACACTGAACGTATTAAGACATATAGAAGACTATAATATCTACCCAAATACCACTTTATAAGGACTCATATCGTATGTTAAACGAATAAACTGAATTTATAAAAGAAATATAATCGTATCTTCTCTCTGTCTGTTTGTTGTTTTACACCACAATAGCAATATTCCACCAAGTACATCATAGTGGCCTGTATACAGCTGACAGTTAGCTAACCAAACTTGTTGATATGAGACCCGTGACGATTCGGATTAGAATATGTCTTCCGCAACTCATCAGTCGTAAAAGCCGACTAACGGGATCATGTGGTCAGGCTCGCTGACTTGGTTGATGCATGTCATCGTATCCCAGTTGCGTAGGTCGATGCTCATTATATCAATCACTGGATTGTCTGGCATAGACTCGATTATTTACAGGCCGCCGTCATATAGCTTGAATATGAGTGCAGCGTTAAACAACAAACAAACGAACTTGTTGCTATGAGCAACGCCCCGAAGTATGATGCCTCGCAATATACCATGCCACCCCAAACGCCTCTTATGACAACATAGTGCGCGGGACCTATTCACAGGTATATACTTAACTACTTAACTTCTACTTTACTTTGAAACCGTAATTTATTTTACACTAATACTATGCTTAGCAAACCGGGTCCCCACGCGAGTATTCAGAAGACAACTTGACTGTGCACATACTTCAACTGGATTGCCAGCAAGAAAAAACAGAAGGTTGATTGTATGGTATTATGTTAACTATAACCAACAGCGGACATTCAGTGTGGAAGAGTTGGGGTTTTGTTTTCGTCTGTGAGATTCCGAAGAATAACACATTATTGCTGACATACTGAATAAATATTATGCTGACGAGATTCAGAGAATAATTATTATCGCAAAGATGGAATCAATATATCAAGAATAATCTTTGATACTAATATTCAGTCTCTGAATCTCGTCGGCGTGATATTTCTGTTCATGATCATGAGGAACAGTTGACGTCATAAAGGTGATGCTGTAGTGATCTTGACGCAAAATCCACGCACTTAATGTAAATAAAATAGGTAAAAGACTGTCACCCTGGAGCAGGCCTATTTCGGAGCTGCGCATGTCAAGAGTAATCATCATGAATACACCGTCGGGAAGCGCCTCACTAATTGAATACACATGTTATGGCCGCACTCACGTCTACGATGTAAACGTAAATTTACTACACCCCACCCTCTCCAGAGCTTTCGTTTTAGCTTAATTTTATCCGATAGCGTAGATCGGTGCTCATAATGCGAATCACTTGATTGTCTGGTTCAGACTCGATTATTTAGAGATCGCCGTCTTATAGCAGGAACACTGTTGAGAGCGGCGGTAAACAACAAACAGACACACCAAACTTTGGGAAAAACAACGTAAAGCAAGTAATGATAAAAAGAGGCCTTATGTTTTACAATGATGGATGTTAACTGTACTGGAAAATAAATTTATGTGTATCGATCATATTTCTTATTTTGATTTGTTGTAGAACAAACACGTATATACCAGCATATGTTTGACATTACTTTGACACTGAGGGAGTCGTGCGTGCATGTAATCTCATTGTACAGCGATTTTATTCAAAGTTATATACCGTCAGTGGAGAAAAATTAGATTACCATTGCCATAGACAGCAGAGAATAATGGGATCAAGTGCATGTTGACGAAGAGGTATAAATATTCAGAACTCTTTAATCGACACAGACGATTGCAGGCTTCGTGACTCGTTATAAAAACAGTTGCTATCCATGCATAATACATTTGTCATTGTCAGTTATTGAAAGGATCCGGGGTAGAATAGGTCTTCAGCAACCCATGCTTGCCGTAAAAGGCGACTATGCTTGTCGTAAGAGGCGGCTAACGGGATCGGGTGGTCAGGCTCGCTGACTTGGTTGATGCATGTCATCGTATCCCAATTGCGTGGATCGATGCTCATGATGTCAATCATTGGATTGTCTGGTCCAGACTCGATTATGTACAGACCGCCGTCATATAGCTGGAATATTGCTGAGTGCTGCGTTAAACAACAACCAAACAAATCATACATATAATTCAGTGATTGAGCGAGTGTGACTTTACACACACACACACACACACACACACACACACACACACACACACACACACACACACACACACACACACACACACACACACCCCCCCCCCCCCCCCCCCCCATTTCCAGTAACATCAACTTGAGGGCATCGACAATGAGATTTGTCCATGTCGGGAATCGTTACCGTGTCTTACGTTTGCGAACGTTTTAACCACAAGACAACCCAACCACCCAAATGGGAGTCAATTAGAGAGTAAGGAACGGTGGGGTAGCCTACTGGTTTAAGCGTTCGCTCGTCACGCCGAAGGCTCGGGTTCGATTCCCCACTCCGGTACAATGTTTGATGCTAATATGTGTTGGCCCCCGCCGTGATTAATTACAAAAGGCGGCGTATAACCATACACACTGTTTGAGAGTAAGGTTGGGCGGTTCAAATTGTGTCCATGAATCATGTGATATAAAGAATTAAAATTAGACGCAGATCATAGAAGGATATTTCATGATTGATCTGTATTTATTTTAGCGGGCTGCCAGGTTCGTACTAACACGCAGAGCTGGGTCCCGCGTGATGATAAACTCTCAAATGACTGCTAAAATTTCGATTTTTGGTTTCGTTAAATGCAGGCATTGGTGTTGTTTCAACATAGAACGAGCCCCACTTTGTTGTTTTAACCACAAATAGATACTGCAAACGGACATGTTTCCATACAAACGGATACAACACCTTTATTAAGCAATTTGGTCGCGAACGTTGTCAGGCCCAGGATGAAAATATCACTTGAACAAAAGAAGTTGATTATTATTCACATGAAACCGTCCAAAGTCTATATTCTAATCAAACAGTTCATTCATTTCTGATTTTCCGAAAACAACGTCAAACACGCTTAACAACCAACATGTGTGCTGTGACAATGATTGATCGAAAGCGCAGATACGAGAGGCGTACGCCAGGCGCTCGTCTCTCCGTGAGCCTCAAGAGGTTTCAGAATTCGGGAAAATCCGGAATACCACGAGGCCACGTCGAGATTGATTTGGCATCCCGAAACATAACAATCGTGACGATCACGTTGTGAATTATGAAACTGTGTTGTTACGGCACTGATGTGGTTATGTCACATGCCGCAAGGCGTTAATGTTGATACTCTTTTTGAATTATTTAAAACATAGAGATGACCAGATATGATTCCCGAAAACTTCCTAAAAAAACACTTTGATTGAGCATATGTCCGAATATGAATTCCTTGTATAATTCAGAATAACATGACGCGATGTTCGCACGCGCACATGACAAACACATGCCCCTCGGCATTGGGTGCACGCGGACATGTTATTTGTTTGTTTGTCGTTTAACGCTGCACTCAATAATATTCCACTTGACCACATGATCCCGTTAGTCGCCTCTTACGGCAAGCATGGGTTGCTGAAGACCTATTCTAACCCGGATCTTCACAGGTTTGCGGCCATGTTAGAAAAGGGGTGATATGACGTATGACGCAATCTCATTAAAATCAGACCTCAGTTCTCGCTACCGCTAAACAAAGATCTGAAGACATCCCATTAGAGGTCACGTCAGAACGACCTTTCATCCGACCAATCAGAGCGTCGCTTACCAGATCATGAAAGTGACAGTCGGAATGTGATTTCTAATCATACAACCTCGAAAACTTTAACAAGGGGTATTCCGAACGATA